CACTGTATATTATATTCTCAAAATTCTGTAACCTTTTAATACCAGATTGTATTTATTCTCATAACTAAATCATGCATCCAGAAGAGTGTATAATACTGTCTCAAACATAGAAAGAACCTAAGGGCGCTGTGATTTCAGGTGAAGAAAATACACAGAACACCTGAGCATTATCTAAGCCTCTTTTTCTGGTATCACATCACACTAACGTCTCTTTAGAAATGAATTATTTGCACATTGCCATGCTGAGATCCTCCGTCAGTAAATGGATAGAATGAAATTCATTCTGGGTCTAGTTCAAACAATCTAATCAGTTGAGATTGGACTAGATTCCCATAGGAAACCAAGAAAATTCCAGGTTTTGTGATGTTCACCAGCAAGGGAACTATAAAGCTTATCATCTCAGGGATTTTATTTTATTTTTTGCACATCCATTTTGTACATTCATAACCTTGTCCTTCTAGCCACCTGAAAATGCATGATTTCCAGCAGTTGCTCATGTCATTTTACTGTTTGAGACTAACCAGCAAATGGTGCTCCTACCCATAGAACATTAGTCAAGGTGCATAGCATCCGCGGTGGGAAGGTGACGGCGTTCCGTGTCTAGTCGCACTGGCCATATGATCCCAGAAGATTGTCGTCGGACAAACGCTAGCTCTGTGGGTTGGAAACAGAGATGAGTGCCACCCCATAGAGTCGGACACGACTGGACAAATTGTCAAGGGGAACCTTTACCTTTATAGCATCCCAGACCAGTCAAGTTAGCACATGAGGCAGAAAATCCCACAAACAACTCTTCCCATCCCTGTCTGTAAAAATGCAACAACAGCAAAGGAAATAACTTCTAACCTCCTGCCTTGTCATGACACCTCCTGTTACCTGCTATCTTTTACTTGAGGCAGTTGCCTTACTCAACGTAACTGGAAAGTCTGCCCCTAACCATTGTATACGGTTGTTAGACATACATGTCACTTCTTAACAAGGAAGATAAATTATAACAACAACAAACAACCCTGAATGTTGTGAGAAAGTTGGTTTAGTTATGACTTTTCCCTTACAACTCATACAGTCGCTCTGTTTAGCACTCATCCATTTGCCTAATGTTGACACTGCTATAAACTGTAGCTCCTTGTGCTATATATATATATATTTTTACAAAAAAGAAACTGCTTACAATGGCCATTTACAACTGTATTCTCCCTTAATTAGTCAGCACTGACTTGTGCTGCAGGCACAGCTCCTTTGGCTTTCAAGATCTAGGAATGTTAATAGTACAGTAGATCATTTTAATTATTATTGAGTTAATGCTGTGTCTCAAAGACCACCACATGCAAATCACACAGAAATGGCCTAAAATAACCCAAAGGTTGTGCTTTATCATAAAAGCTATGGGCCTGTCCCTTAAATTTAAGGAGGTTTACTTTCTTCAAATATCACCCTGTTTTGCCTGAGGATGCCAGGATAACGGGGCATGACAATTTTCACAGGGCTATCAAAGGGATGCCGTTTCACTCCATGCAATCACTAGAGCGAATCAAACCATCCCCAGAGCACCCCTTCCCACACCTTTCTGAGTCCCTGTCAGGGTCTTCTACTTTTTCAGTGCAGCAATAATCATCGTGGTTTGGTCTGTTTCCAGCACCTGTGATTGTTTGGAATAGACCAAAAGCGAACTTTCGGGCTGTCAAGGCTCCTTCCATTTTGATTTTCTAATATTATGAATAAGTGAGCCACTTTAAGATATCAGAAAATTAAACTCTCCCTCCACTCCTTGGTCAAGGGGCAAGGGAAATGATTTTTCCCCCTGACCCTGGTATAACATTACTGATATACTATATCAACTATATCACTTATAAAGAAATTTTTAATTTTTTTTTTTTTGCCTTGTCTGAAGAAACTGGCCATAGTCAAATTCAGACTGGGCTGTGGGCAATTTCTCAACCAGCCAGAATTCCACTTTGCTCCAGCTGGAAATTGAAATACGCTTTGAAGGCTGGGAAGTTTCTGCACTAGGGAAAATTCTGAGCTGATGGAACAGAGACTTGAGACATTGTATATTTTGTAGGTAAATATTGAAGTTGGCTAGAAATAAACCAGGTCTTACAGCTCAATCCTTGCCTTCAGTTTGTCTATCCACCGTACCACTGTGGACTCAAACAGGAATCAGGCCCACAAGCCAGAAAGGGATCCTCACCTCTACCTCACAACAACCTGGGAATGTTATTAACTACCATATTAACCCCATATAGCAGATGTGAGGAATTCAACTAAAAATAGGAAGACCTCTAAATAAGTTTGTGAAATTTGAATTGTGTGCTTCCTGGCACACAGGTCACATGTTAAACCACTTTGCCACACTGAGTTTCAAGCAAAAGATGATGTTGAAAAGGAGGAGAAGAAATTATTCCACAATTTTTAAAAAGAAAATTCCACCCTGCCTAATGTAGAAGTCAGAATCCATGAAACCATAAAAGGACTTGAATGTGCGAGAGAAGGAAGGAATTGATGGCAGTCTGAACCAAAGTTATAGTTTTTACTGCCCTTGGTGAGTGGGGGTTGGAGCTGAAAGGGGGGGGGTCTTCAGCCATTCTGCTCAGCTCCAGGCTCATTAGTATCCAGCAAGTTTCTCCTCTAAATGACAAAGAGTTTCACTGTCACCAAAGAGAAATTGCTGCTGACCTTAGACCCCTTTTTGGAAAGTAAAATAATGGAGCACAGGAACAGGGTTTGATATTTGACCGAATCCTACACAATTATCATGCATGTGTATATAATAAAATTAATTCTGTGTCTCTGCCTTGTAGCCTGGGGCCAGCAACGTACAATCAGTTTTGTATGTATAATAGATCACAGAGTTGTTCATGAATAATACAAATGCACTGAGCAGATACTGGTGAGCGAGGATGTTTGTCTTTGCATGGAATCGAAGTGAACATGTAATATTGTGATAATATATATTTGATGAATTCAGGTCTGACTTGCCTTTGCCATAGCCTGCTAATTCCTCAACAAGGGTTGCCACAATAATTGAGTTTCCAATAACATTATGATTATTTCCACATGATAATTTAATTGTGGGCATTTTTTTAATATTGTAATATTGTAGATTTGTGATTATTATGCTTTTGCATGCAGATCTTGGTAGTGACTCGGAGCACATCCCCACATTTATAACTTAATTTTCCATATTATTATATATATGGGGGAGGGAGATGATAAAATCATTAATGCAAACTTTAAAAAGAGGCCATTTTACTCATTCTGTTTTTATTATAAATGTTTGAAAGTCCTACTTTTTTTAAAAAAAAAAGTCTGGACCATTCTGAATCAGGAAAGGCAATCCTAATTCGTTGTTAGATTTGTTTAACATGATGAAATAATGATCAGACATGACAGATTTGTCTAATGTAATTGGAATGCAATCAAGCACAAATCTCTCTTATCAGGAAACTAAACTGATGAGCCACTAACTTTATTCCATGTGCACTTTATTCTGTTTGCATGTGAAACTCATGTGCTCTAAAACCATGGGAGATGTAGGAGTTTGGAAGTTGACTATTGTAACTAGGTTGAGTCCAGATTTATCCACGTGCCACTTGGATTGTGGAAGCAAGTTTCCTTACTGCCATCAATACCATCTCCTTCACACATCATCATTGTCAACATCATCATCATCATCACAATCATCATATTTACTGCAACATTATTTTAAAATAAAGCACCATAACACCTCAGCTTCTGGTAAATCATATATAAGTGAGCAGACTACCTTCTCCCTGGTCTTACCTCTCCTGAGTTCCATTTTTCCATCATCCTTCTATAGATTTGGCTTCTGCATCTTATTACAACCATCTTCTGAAAACATTACCAGGCCACTGGTCTTTGAAAAACAGTCCTCCTCTTCCTCCTCCTCCTCCTCCTCAAGGCTGGGCATCTCTAAACCACAGTTTTGCATTGCATCCTAACCAGTCTCTGAGATTCTCCACCCTTCCCTTGTATTTCTTTCCCCATAATATGATAAACAGGAAAACCCTTCTCTTATTCCTAGTTCCTGGTAAGTCAGCCAAAAAATTTTGGGAGTTATAGTTCAAAAAAGCAACAATTGCCAGTTCCAAATTGCAACATTCCCTACCCCCTCCATTCCTTTTCAGGGAAATTTTGAAGCATGGTTTTAAGGGGGAAAAAAATGTTTCTAAGTGCATTAGAATGTGTTTTTTCCTTTTCCCTCACATCTGCATGTCTAGACAGTAAATGTGGCTGGACGTGCTTGAGTTACAGGTGGCTTATAAGTACAACCAGAACCAGTCTGACTTCAAACATTATTTAAAGAAATGGGAAGTTTACTAAGTTAACACATTTGCTTTAGAAGCCAGTGGAGAACACAAGAAATGAACATAGCATGTTATAAGAGGAGAATATTTCGCAATGCTGGCCATCTCCCAGAAGGTGAATTTGAGTCTGAGCACAGAGGTATTGGGAATCAGCAAAGATATTTCTGTTTTAATTTGCAAAGACCATCTCCTGCAGACATCCTTCATCCTGCATCTCTGCTTCTTCTCTTGATCCAGGTTTCTCTCTCTCTCTCTCTCTCTCAGATTTTTAAAATCTCCTATTCTTTCTGTCCTGTCCATTGAGAAATTTACAAATTTTGCTAAACTGATAATGAAGCAAGACCAAAAAGATATTCTTAGCCATCTGCCAAGTTCAAAGAACCTATATAACTACCGGTATTCCTGATGCAGATAGCATCGTGTTGCAAGTGCTCATCCTATAAATTTTAGAGATGAGGGGCAGAAACAGAAAAGAAAAGTGACAATCTTAATTCAGAACCACCACAGAAATTCAAATTTTTAAGAATTAAACTCAGAGTTGTTGGCTACCTCTTTTAGTTTTCCCCACATTTCTTTTAAACTCTTCAATTTTTCTAGTCCAAAACATGCAATATAAAAACATTTGTGAATTCCAATTTTTTTAAAAAAATGAATTGAAACAAAATTCTTACTAGTTCTTACAGAGCTTTTCAGCCTTCACTTCCTGATTAGCAATCTCAGAACTATGATATATAGAGATACAACGATAATTTTCATGTAAGGATATGATCAAATGGGCATTTGTCCCATTGTTTAGTCCACTGAGGGAGATGGGCTCTGGGTCAGGGGCTACTTTTTTTTTTTCAGCAGATAGGATCTCTCTGTTTTGGTTCATTTTCAGCTTGTGCAATTGCTGGGATTGAACCAAAGTGAGCCTCTTGCTTTGATCTCCCAAATGGTTTCAATATCCCCACATCATTAGTGGATTAAACAGACATCTTAATGATAAGGGAAAACTGGAAAATTAAATAGGGAAATTAAAGACTTCCTCTGCTGCTTCACAAAGAAAGGAGAGGAAGCCAAACAATTTAAAAAAACACAACCCAATAGAGCAGCACTGATGCACTGCATCACTTTTTTTTAAAAAAAAAATCTGAAATCTTCTAGAAGTGGGGAAATAACAATGAAGATCAGCAAGAATTTTTATGAGATAATTTGATTTCTAAAGCTCAACCAAAATCTTATCTAATGCTGGATTGTACAGCAGACAGCGGCTGAATCTCTTACAAGAAATAAACAAATTCTAATCTTTCACCTGAAAGAAGGAGGCAACAGGAGAGAGCAATAACAGGGATTTCTTCTTCTTCTTCTTCCTTGCCGTCTTGCATTCTTAAAAGAGCCAGACCAAACTGGGTTGCTTGAGGTGAATAGATCACACCAACCCGCATACTGGACCTCTCTCTACCTGACTTCTAAGCAAGCCTGTGTAGACAAGCTCTAACACATTATTGTTTTGTAATTAGATTGTAATGAAATTATATATCAAAAGAAATGTAAAGAGGAGAAATGATCTTTCTTTTCTGGTGAAAAAGTAACACATTCTCTATCCTTTTGAACTTATGTTTAGAGGTCATAGATGTTTTGGGCATTTGGAACTTCTGGCAACACTTTGCGACTTCTCTTTTTTTAAAGCTTCTGAAGAGCACTGCATTTTTAATAACTCTGACCTAAAGAAATAGCCTCCCCAACCACATCTCATGGTCTCCTCCCAGACACACTTTCCCATGCAGAATATTTCAAAATAATCAACTCTTGCAGAGGTCTAATTTATGTACCTTTTTGCTGTATGCTCTACTCCAATGTTTGATAAGTGAAATTTGTAAGAAAAAAAGAAAGAAGAAAAGACAATGGTGTAAGCAATTCAGCAAAACCTACAAATAAAAACAGTTTATGTATGATATGGATAAATTAAAAACTATAATGCTTAAACTGAGACTATCATACTTTGAATGTATGATGAGAAGACAAGACTGACTGGAAGAGACTATAACACTAGGAAAAAGTTGACAGCAGTAGGAAAGAGGACAACCAAGCATGAGATGACTTTGTTTGTTTGTTTGTTTTAGTTTTTTAATTATTAATATATGAGATGAATTGACTCAATGGTCAAAATCCTGTTGTTTAGCATACTAAATTGCATGAAAGTAGGCCCGTGAATCAATGGGGATTGGGTGAGTCATCTCCTTTATAAATCCCATTGATTCAAATGAGCGTGCTCTAACTATGCTAAATTGCAGTGAGAGTAATCCTTTATAAATCCCATTGATTCAAATGAGTGTGCTCTATGCTATGCTAAAGTAAATTGCAGTTAGAGTAGGACTATTGAACAATAGAACTTATGGAGGTGGTGACTCACCAAATCTCTGTTGAGTCAGCGGGCATACTATAGTGCAATTTACTATGCTGAGCAACAGGATTTTGGCCAATGAAGGAAGCCATGCCCTTTAGTTTGCAAGTTCTTAACCGAGCAACTAATGACAGGTGCTTTTGGGGTTATCACAAATTGGAACCGACTTCCCATGGAACATAACAATAACATTATTACATTCCAAAAACACAAATTAATATGTATAAATGTAAAAAGCAATGTGTGCTGCTTATATACCGCCCCATAGTGCTTCAAGCACTCTCTGGGCGGTTTACAAGTTAATTATGCAGGCTACACATTGCCCCCCCCCAGCGAGCTGGGTACTCATTTTACTGACCTCATAATGATAGAGGGCTCAGTCAACCTTGAATCAGCTACCTAGGATTGAACCCCAGGTCGTGAGCACAGTTTTGGCTGCAGTACAGCAGTTTAACCACTGTGCCACGAGGCTCTCATTATCCTATTGATATCACTGCTTGTTACTTTATTACTTAGCATTTTGAAAACTGTGGCTATGAAGAAAAAGGTGAATTGAATGGATAATATAGTTTAAAGTAATTTACTATATAGTTTGTTCTTTAGAAATAAGGGCTGTATTTTTCTAAATTCCATAAAATGAATGGCACACCTCAGGAGGTGTGTCTCTAATTACTGATTATCAATCAATCATTGTCCGTTAATTATCATTAAAGCTGCTTTTGAAAATGTTTCTCTCCTGGGAGCCAAGCATTTTGTGACCTTCACTGTAAATAAATATACTTATAAAATAATCCTAATAACTTTTATTGTTCTATTTGGATCTTTTGTATATAAAGAGAAGGAAAGTCATACGTTAATAATGATTCTTTGCAACAGTAGTTGCAATGAGATATCTTCCCATATTCGGTTCAGTGCTTGATCTTCTCATTTGGCTGTTTAGACCAACTGTCTTTCTGGTGATTTTTTTTACAACAAAAGGCAGTTGCAAATTGAGAAGAATCACTATAGTAATGACTGTAAAGATCACTTTGCCATTTTAAATGGCTACTAGCATGGACTTTCCTGATTTCTGGATTGTTTTAAGCTCAACAAAAGAAACACTCGTGTTTTTGTTTGGTTTTGGGTTTTTTACCTGTATCATTTTGCATCTTATGCTTCCATGTGAAGTAGGAGATCAGGAAATCCATCCTTGTACAGTGCTAGTTTTATTGCAATTGTGGGTTTGTGCAGTTCACTCCAGACTTAGCTATACATAAAGTAAACAGGCAAACTGAAATTTCTAGAGCTTGGGGCTTTCCAAAGGCATCATTTGTTCTCTGAAAATCACTGGAACTTCTGGAAGATAATTTTCTCCTGCCCTTTCTGTGGTGTAAGCAGTGTTTTGTGAGGTGTTTTGCCTCTTCTGAAGACAGACATCCTGTGATTTGCAATGGGCAAGTGACTCAGTAGCCCGGGAAAACTGTACAGCTTCTGTTTTTAAAGGCATTGGCATTACTTTAGAGCAGTGGTAACCTTTTTGAAGCAGTGATCTCCTTTTATAACAGCCAGGCAATTCTAAATGAAATCACCCCTGAGTGCTCACTGGAAGGACAGATCCTGAAGCTGAGGCTCCAGTACTTTGGCCATCTCATGAGTAGAGAAGACTCCCTGGGAAAGACCCTGATGCTGGGAAACTGTGACAGTAAGAGGAGAAGGGGACGACAGAGGATGAGATGGCTGGACAGTGTCTGCGAAGCAACCAACATGAAATTGACACAACTACGGGAGGCAGTGGAGGATAGGAGGGCCTGGCATGCTCTGGTTCATGGGGTCACGAAGAGGCGGACACAACTAAACAACTAAACGATGACGACAAAGACAGACATATTTTCTTTCAGTTTGTGCAGAGAGCAAGGGATTGCTTATTATACAAACTTATTTTTAAAGACAAAATTAAAAACCCTTCCTTTTCAGCCACCCACTTGAATCTGCATAAGAAACAGGCCCTTTTAGAAGGGATGACTTTAACCTATTAGAATGCCTTTTTATACAAATGTGGGGGGGAGAGTGCCACAGGTTGCCTGGCTGTTATAAAAGGAGATCACTGCTTGAAAAAGGTTACCACTGCTCTAAAGTAACGCCAATGCCCTTTAAAAACAGAAGCTGTACAGTTTTCCCGGGCTACTGAGTCACTTGCCCATTGCAAATCACAAGATTCCCATCATCTTTGCTAGTTATTTTTCTTCCTCCTCCCCAATCTCTGCTACTCAATCAGGTGGGCTTTGGACACATACAAGATACCACCTGCCATCAAGAGACACTAACAAAACAGGGTTAACTATCAGTTACACAAAAGCCTAGAGATAATGAAATGTTCACTTGCAAATACAAAGGTTTTCACAATAAAAATGTTCCATGTACTATAGGTTCATCTGACATGATACTCCAAGATGTAATAAAGTAGCCTCCAAGCATGAGGCAAATCTGTACCCATCACTCACAGTCAATTGCATATGGAATTCTCTCATGGCAACAATGCTAGTAGAGGAACATTCAGACTGTAGACATGACAAGTGAATAGTTGAAGTACCTTGAACCTACTCCCAGGAAACAGTTATTGTTTGAGACTACAATTCCCAAAATAGTAGCGTTCCTGGTGGCCAGGAAAATCTGTAAAATGCACACCAAAAAGTAACTCTCCAGTTCTGCACTCACTTAGAGTGGAATTACACATTATTTTCCATGCATGATACCTGCCTAAAGCAGCCACCCTGTGCTGAGCTATTCCCCACTCAAGATCACTTATCCTGCCCGGTGACATCATCAGATTGTGCCCCTCTCTAAGAGCCCACACGATGTGAAATGGAGAAGGAATGTTCACATTACAATGGGCAAGCAAGGTACAGAACTAGTGAAAAAGTACAACCAGGTCTTCGCAGCAATATATCTCGAAAGGCAGCTAAGGAGAAAACCTATACCACTCTTCATTTACATATGGTGACATTTTACAGAAATATTGTAACATTAGCAGTGGCATAATGAAATTCTGCCTATCAGCCATGGAAGGAATAATGTTACTGTAAAGGTAACCTGTTCACAGTTTGTTATCAAGAAAATATTCTTGCCAAGGAACATACATTTTGGAAGGAAGATTAGGAGCAGGGTTCTCTCCCCCTCCCTTTCTTCCCTCCCTCCCTCTTTGTTGTAATTCCCCCTCCACCTCCTTTTGGGCTATCCGTCTTCCCTTACAGATTTACTGCATGATCACTCCCTTTACATGCTAATTATGTGCAGGTCTGGTGAATTTGTTAGTGGTGACACTTCAGAGACCCCGTGGGACTGCAACTCATTATGTAGCAATGTCCTATATCAGATATTATTAGCTGTCATTAATCTGCTGTGGAAACATTGAGCGCACAACCTGAGAGAGACCAGGAAATAGAGTACAAATGAAGCCTTGCATGGCCCTGGCTCCTGAAAGGTTAAAGGGCAAACTGGTGGGAAGGAGAGGAATATCCCTTTAAAGATCCCTTTGTGATCTCACTTTATGGAGCTAAAGCATGAGGGACATCTGTAAACCTACTGTTCAAGTGGGCGACATAAGCATTCAGTGCAGTTGAGAAGAAACCATAGGCATGATCTGCTCTCCTACAAAAGCCCCAAGCTTTTAGCTGCCTCAGACAAAACATAGGAATTCAGCTGGACTAGGAGTTCACTCTTACACAGTAGTAACAAGACTGCTTTCTCCATTTGAGGGCAGGAAGCTCATGGAGCAGAGACTGGGCAAAGCAGCTTCAGAGGCTCAAAGGAGATGGTAGGAGTGGAGAACATTCCAGTTTTCCTGTTTCTGTGACCTGCGGTACTGTACCTGACATATCCTGCCTGATGGCCAGACCTACCCTGAAAGTCCTCTACTGTGAAAGGAATGAAGATTATATATGATAGCACTTGATGGAAAGATTATTACCAATGATACTGGATACTCAAACACTATCTGAGTAGAAGGCAAGATTTTCATAAATCTATTTCCAATAATTCTAGGGACGTGGTGGCGCTGTGGGCTAAACCGCAGAAGCCTGTGCTGCAGGGTCAGAAGACCAAGCAGTCGTAAGATCGAATCCACGTGACGGAGTGAGCTCCCGTCGCCTGTCCCAGCTCCCACCAACCTAGCGGTTCGAAAGCATGCAAATGCGAGTAGATAAATAGGTACCATCTCGGTGGGAACTGTACCTGACATATCCTGCCTGATGGCCAGACCTACCCTGAAAGTCCTCTACTGTGAAAGGAACGAGGATTATATATGATAGCATTTGATGGAAAGATTATGACCAATGATACTGGATACTCAAACACTATCTGAGTAGAATGCAGGATTTTCATAAATCTATTTCCAATAATACTACTTTCAACTTCTGTAATTGAAGAGCGGGATGAGCGCCGCCCCCTAGAGTCGGACACGACTGGACAAAAATTGTCAAGGGGAACCTTTAC